ATTGGCCTACGTATTACATCATAATAATCCGGATAATCCTGGAAATAGTTCGAGCCCAAATTTTATACTGCTATTCAATTTCAGCAGAAAAGTGAGTTAATGAAATATATCAAAGTAATTTTTCGAAGCATCGGCTAAATAAAACACAAGGGAGAGGAAAACTCACAAATTTAGAAGGGAGATGCAAGAAGGGCAGTGCAAGCTCGCGTCCCCGTTCATCTTTGTGGTTTTTGACTATACTGAACAACTCGAGCATCTTCTTCTTGTCAGCGTCCGCTTTATGTGGTGTGCCATGACCCGATTTGCGAATTACTGGCGACACGCAGATTGGAAATTTGCCACTGCACGACGGCGAAACGGCACGCAAGTCGTTTGAGAGGTGTGGCGCAACACGAGAAAGGAAAGGTTCCGGTGCAGAAGCAATCGAGCTCCTAAAAAGTATTTCTAAACAATGCATCATGAAGTCAGAACTCCACAATATTCAATTCACTCATACAAAAGTACTCGGCAGTAACCTGAGCGGAAGAACTGCTAAATTTTCACCACATCCACGTCTCTGACGGTAAGACACCACGCCAGTTAAGAATGGCCAGCGCACCGACTGCCGGTGCGAAGTTTTTTGCATATTAGTTCCCCGCAGGTTTTTGTTGCTAACGGCACCGGTTTCCCTGCAGGTGCTTCTAGCTAAACGAATTAAGGCTGGCCGTCAAAACTATCAGGAAACGCTCACATTCTGTACGACAGTGCAGCAAAAATGAAAAAAAAAAAAAAAAACTGAGGGAGGAAACGGAGTAGAGAATGACAATCAAGCAATATTAGAAAACAAAAAACCCATGCTGGAACGCACCAGGCTAGCCGGCGCGATCATGCGTTTTTGCACTTTTCTTGCTGTAGCAAGATCGTAAGGAATCAAAGTAGCTAAACCCTGTGAAATACTGGCCCTCGAAGTTCGGGAACTTTATTGCGTAACTATGCGGTATGTCAGTTGTGGGTGTCGACTTCAGTGACCCGATAAATGGAAAGCTGCTGGTCCGCAAAAAAAGGCCACACAAGAAGAGTTAAGTTTAAAATCTTTTAGCTGCGCATGAGCGGGAAACATTCTCTTAAAATTAAAGCCTTTAGCTTTCCCCGTTTCTGAGATAGCAGTTTTCCCACCAAAATTTCCACGTGTCCGTACATGAGTACTGGACAGTTTTAAGGAGCTGAATTTAAAATCTTTTAGTCATACACGAATAGGAAACATAACCCTAAAGTTTCAGCTTTCTAGCTTTTCCCGTTCCCGGGCTAGTAATTTTCGCGCCAAAATTTCCACGCGCTCGTATGTGCGCTCGGGCGCTTCTAAACGCCTGGTTTTGCTCGTACATGAGTGGGGAACATCCCCTTTAATTTTCAGCTTTCTAGCTTTTCCCGTTCCCGGGTTAGTAATTTTTGCGCCAAAATTCCACATACCCATACGTATGCTCGGGAGCTTCTGAACACCTGATTTTGCTCGTACATGAGTAGGGAACATCCCCTTTAAGTTTCAGCTTTCTAGCTTTTCCCATTCCCGGGCTAGTAATTTTCGCGCCAAAATTTCCGCGCGCTCGTACGTGAGCCCCCAGCGGTCCTAAGGAGCTGAATTTGAAAATTTTTGGTCGTGCATGAGTATGGAACATTTCCCAAAGTTTCAACTTTCTGGCTTTTCTCATTCTCGAGTTATGAATTGTCCCGCCAAAATTTTCATGTGCCCGTACGTAAGCCCCGGGCACTCCTGGGCAGCTGAATTTGAAATCCTTTTGTCATACATGGATAGGGAACATTCCCCCAAGGTTTCAGCTTTCTAACTTTTCTCGTTCCCAAGTTAGCGATTTTCGCGCCAAAACCTCCACGTATTTGTACGCGGGGCTCAGACTTGCGTGAGGGTTGAGACCGCGGTCATGGGGTGGTACCTGACTGGGGAACACACTGGCAAAATTTCAGCTTCAAAGCTTGCATGGTTAGCGAATTGAAATACCCGGACAGACGAACACACACACACTGACAGGTTCGTTGCAATATGCGTTTTTGCTGCCTGTTGCAGCGCTCTAGCGCTGCACGGCAAAAATGCATTAAAATGGAAAGAACCACTCGAACATTTACATGAGTTTACGTAAATGCGGTGGACAAAATGAAACAAATGCACCATCTTGCTACGGTGGCGACAAGGGCCATAACAAGAGAGTAGCAGTTGTTCAATTTTTCAAATTACAACCCGAAATGAATGATTAACTTCAAGTAAGATGGTTGCGAATTATTCGCTACGGAAAAAAAGCGAGTATCGTAAAAGAACTTAACCTAAATGATATTTAGAGAGTCTTACCTAGACAATTCGCCATCGGGATTTGGAACATCCTCAAGTCGACGCTTTCTTTTTACAGCAGCGTACATTCGGCGCCTTTTTGGTGGTAATTTCGATTTCATAAGTCTAAAATTTGGAAATAAATCTTTTACATCTCTAATAAACACAGAACAACATTTAATGCAAAACAGCCTTATTTCTGCCCCACAACTGCACAACTGGCAATGTCATTCATTCATGTTATACTGGTACTTTACTGAATGTGGTTACTTTCTTTCAGGCTGGCATGTGAGGGACGCTGTGGTTCACAAATCAAGAATGGCGTACAGTGAAAGTAATATTTTATTATGCTTACCACAGTTCTGTCAAGACATAGCGAAACAGGGAAAGCGGCCATTAGCACATCATTTATTTTACGGGAGCTATCCAAATCAAGAAAAGACTAGATGCTGAATGACCTGAACCCGCTGAATGGTCAATGGCCAGAAGTCCAGCTCGGTTACGTGTATACACGACAAAACTACAAACATCGGTAAGTAAAAAGCGCTGGAGCACCTCGTCCCTGAGCCCGACACTGCTACATTTTACTCAGTTGTAGCATTCGCATAAACCTAGTCCTAGATGAGCGATCATAACCACACACCATGTACCAGATACCTTCTCCCCTTTCTACATGCGCACCCTTTCGCACAACCAGTTAAATATAACTCAATTTGAGCTGACATTTTACTGGTGAAGCTTAACTTACCCTATTTTGCCTTTACAACGGATTGGATTGAACAGGGGCACAATAGATACTGAGCTCAGCGCATTTCGAACAACCGATTGCAGAGTTGTCGCATCGCGATAGATCTGAGAGCCTGGCTCATTGAAAGACCACGCATTGTGGATGAGTAAATCCACGTCATCGATAAAGTCATCCGATGAGTCATACTAGAAAGAATCAACTTGTACATTTCAGAAGACGAATTTGTAACTTTGCTAGCAGCAACTCGTCAACAAGTAATGTTGAAGGTGCTGAACTGATACAAAAAAATATCCTAAGCTTATTTCCTAGACGGACATTTCGGCTCCCACAGTAACCAGTAACACATTTATTCCCTGTCAGTGGACTGAATTTTGTATAATAAGCACCTGAATTTCATCTAACACAAAAATACAAAAAAAAAAAAAGAGTAATGTACAATGAGGACAATCCAGTTTAACCTGGAGATACACTAAAAGCTTCACCTACTGCACTTTA